CTCTCTCTATCTCTCTCTCTCTCTCTCTCTCTCTATCTCTCTCTCTCTCTCTCTCTCTCCCTCTCTCCCTCTCTCTCTCTCCCTTTCTCTGTTTGGAAGGGAAAAAGCTGACACTCACGTTTTCACAGAGAACGTCCCCCACGACTGTGATCACATCTCCTGCACTCATCTTCCTCCTAACCCTCAGTGACCTGAAAGCGAAAAACACCACGAAGGTCATACAGCGTTCATGCGAAGGTCGAATGTTTCTGCGAAGGTGAATATTTCTCTGAATGTCCTTCGGTCTTTCTGTTGAGACCGATCGCATTTTTTCCCGATTGTGAATGCGTTTCTGTGAAGGTCACGTATGTTATGTGAAGGTCAAATGTGTTTCTGTGAATGTCATATTTTTCTATGAAGATCGAATGTGTCTTTGTGAATGTCATATTTTTATATGAAGGTAAAAAATGTCACTGTGAATGTCATATTTTTCTATGAAGGCCAAATGTGTCTCTGTGAATGTCATATTTTTCTATGAAGGTAAAATGTGCTTCGGTGAAGGTCGAATGCATTTTCATCGAAAGGTGAATGTGTTTCCATGCAGTTCAAGATATTTGAGCAAAAGTCGAAACATGGTTTCCAGAACAAGTGGATGCGTTACTGTGAAGGGAAGTGAATTTTCCGTAAAGACAAAAATTCGTAAAAAGACCGTGTTAGTTCTTCGTTAGTCTTCGTTCGAGGGGGAAGCGTGTTTTCGTGAAGATAAAAATTCATTGTGCGCCGCTGCGTCTACTGTGTCTTTGTGTAAGTTCGTTACTTAGACACAGACGCGAGTTCACGTGATGAGGATGACATCACATGACGATCACGTGACGACGATGACGTCACGTGATAACGATGACGTCACGATGATGACTCACTTCAGCAATTTCTTGTTACAGTAGATCAGTTGATTCCAGTTGACGAAGATGGAGTTAGCCTCCAGTTTCGTGAGCACCCTGCCCTCTACCAGCGGCTTCTGAAACACCTGCAATGTTCAACATCGTCACTGTGAACAAGTGCAACTCTTGACGTCGCTTTTTATATTCGGGGAAAATTATTTTTTTTATTTATTTTTATCTTCACCTTTAAGTATTTATTTATTTATTTTATTTATTTATTTTTCTATCACCTTTAAGTGTAGATAAGTATTGACTTTGAAACAATTGAGGGTTAGGGTTAGGGTTCATGTCCACGTCGCCTCCATTTCCACCAACTATACATGTACTCGTCCCTCCGTCCCTCTTTCTGCTTCTCGCTCCATTGTCTTACCGCTCCGCCCATCTCTCCTCTTCCCCTCTCCCTCCTTCTCCTCATCCTCCTCTCGTCGGCTTCCCTCCTCCTCCTCCTCCCTCCCTCCTCCTCTCTCCCTCCCTCCTCCCCCTCCTCCTCTCCCTCCTCCCCCTCCCCTCTCTCACCTCCATCACCAATGACATATCTGTCATGTAGATCTCTTCTGTTCCCACCATATAGATATAGCTCTCCCTCCCTCCTCCCCCTCCTCCTCTCTCCCTCCCTCCCTCCCTCCTCCTCNCTACAACCATAATAGAGACATTATACATCAGATATTATATAAATATATAGTTATACATAGAGATATACATAGAGATATACAGTCATGGAGATATGATATATTATAGTTATATATAGTTATACATAGAGATATACATAAAGATACGTATAGAGCTACATTGAGATATTAGTTATACATAGAGATACACATATAGATATACATTGAGATATTATATATTACAGTTATATATATAGTTATACACATAGATACACATATAGATATACATTGAGATATTATACATCATAGTTATATATAGTTACATATACAGCAATTACTCTATTAACATCTGACCAACGCTGGATCGTAATAATATTTTCCCCATATGACTGCTCATAGGCTAACAACTTCAAGGGAAATATATGTTCGTTATAGACAGGTGGCTGTTCTACGGAGGTGACCCCGCACCTACCTGGTGTACGGCCTTGAACTCGGGGCTTGTCTCGGTCTTCGACTGGATGAGTTTAGCCGCCACCAGCTGTCTACTACAGAATCTAATGTAAGGGGTGAAGTGTGGAAGCTGAAAAGTACATAAATATATATAACATACATAATAAATATAGATGAATATAAATATATATAGATATCGGTATAGGTATCGATCGTATATGGATATAGATATATGTATCGTTAGTATATTGTTGTAGCATGTATCCTTATATATATC